AGCGAGGCCAGACAAAGATAAGTTGACTGTGGTCTGGACCCCATCCCATGTAGATGATAACCCAGAGCAGCTTGAGACGCCACTGGAGCTGTTCTATGCTTGTGGCAATATGACGGCTGACCAGTGGGCGGGGAGGGCTTCGGAGCTGGCGGGGGAGAAGGGGCTTCTTGCTGATATGCCTGATACAGATCAGGTCGACGCGCTAGCGGCGTTGATCCGCCGCCGAGCGCGCAGAGCGATGATTGAAACCTCTGCATCCGAGCCCCGCGCCAGATCTTCCCGCCCTGTGGCAGCGCCTAGAATGGCCAAGCGCGACAGAATCATGACGGCGCCGGCCCACCAACTGAGGAAGTGTGAGTCGAAGTGGGTGTGTTTGCGGTGTAGCATGGTGGTGGCCGCCGCCATGTTTCAGAGTTTTGCGGAGAGCCCGTGTGCTAGCGCATCATCCTTGAGCGTGGAAGCCTGCCCACTGGCCCCCGCAGCAGTCAGACTTGCGGCTGCGGAGGTCCACGTCTCCCACCGCATGAGTTTTTTCCCCCGTTGGTTCCTGTCGGTTTGTTGTACCCGCGGCAGGTACCACACTATCGACCCTCGGGGGTTGACGAACCGATGTGAGGGGCCCTCGGCGAAATGTAAAGAAAATTTGAATAGATTGAGTCAGGGGCGCTTTCCACGAAGAGAAGGCCCCCCCAAGCTTATTTTGGCAGCCATGGCGGAGAGGGAGCGTTTGATCTTGTCGTCGAGTGTCGTCGTCGATGCGTCGTGCAGTGCTCCCCCCCAGCCGCAGGGAGAGGATTTCGGAGGGAGAGGATTTCGGAGGGGGGAGATGGTGGAGGGAGAGGATTTCGGAGGGATCTGGCCTCCCTGTTTGAATGGCCTCAAGGGCCGAGGACAGCGGTCCGCACTCAGCTAATCCAGCTAATCCTCCTCCTCCTCCTCCTCCCTCCTCCTCCTCCTCCTCCTCCTCCTCCTCCTCCTCCTCCTCCTCCTCCTCCTCCTCCTCCTCCCCCTCCTCCTCCCCCTCGTCCTCCTCCTCCTCATCTCCTCCTCCTCCTCCTCCTCTTCCTCCTCCTCCCTCCTCCTCCCTCCTCCTCCTCCTCCTCCTCCTCCTTCTCCTCCTCCTCCTCCTCCTCCTCCTCCGCCTCCGTCCCTCTCCTCCTCCTCCTCTTCCTCCTCCTCCTCCTCCTCCCTCCTCCTCCTCCTCCTCCTCCCTCTCCTCCTCCTCCTCCTCATCCTCCTCCTCCTCCTCTCCTCCTCCTCCTCCCTCTCCTCCTCCTCCTCCTCCTCCTCCTCCTCCTCCTCCTCCTCCTCCTCCTCCTCCTCCTCCTCCTCCTCCTCCTCCTCCTCCCCCCCTGTCGCACGCCTCTTCTGCGCGACTGCCGCCGCCGCGCTGCTCGCTGAAGTGCACACCGTTCTGAGCGCGCGCCCCGCCCCGTCCCTCCTCCACGGCCGACCTTTCCGTGACGTTGGCCATGCACGCAGCGCGAGCCTGCTGCGTGACAGTCAAGACGCCAAGGTAAGGAACAGTTTGGGTTCGGAAGGGGCTCGGTGTTCCTTAGGTTCCTCCGGTGCTGTTCCTCTTGCCCTCCTGGGGCACGGAGGCGCTTACGGGGCCCAGAAGGGGCTTCGTTCCTCATTCAGCGTTCCTTCTTTCAGCAGCCCAACTGTAGACCGTGTGCAGGAAAAACAGGGGCCACGCCGACTTGGCGAGCGGGAGACAACTCGGCCTGGCGGGCGCAGCGGAGCAGGCGGTGCACAGAGAGCAGAAGAGAAGAGGGCCTCAGAGCATGCGCCCGTCAGGCGGCAGAAGGCGCTGCAAGCTTTCCGCAGCCGCCTCCTCTCCCTCCGGTGCCTGACTTGCGTATCCGCGCCCCGGTCTGCGGCCCCGACCGAGTTGTACGAGCGCCAGCGCCGCGACATCGCAGGTTCGCTCGAACGCCCTTTTCAGGAGGGGCCCCGATCTTCAGGCCTTTCCTGACATCCAGATAGGGATACTATGATGGGCCCATTTTCCACTACCGCTATACCAGATGTAGGACGCGGGAGGAGGGATGATGGGGGGTCCTCCTGCTCTCCTCCTCCCCCTCCTCCTTCCTCCCTCTGTGAAGAAGCACGCTCTGCTCTGCCTCGTTGCGGCGCGAGGTCCAGGAGCGGCGGGGTGATGGGGTCCCTCGCCTGTCCTCCTGTTCCTGTTCTTTCTCTGGCATCCAGGTGATGCACCCAAACATGTGGCTGTCAGTGAGCCCTCATTGGTCAGCATGGTCAGAATGGTCCTCCTTCTCCTGCCGATGGTAGTGGTGGTGGGAAGTCGGCCCATCATACCACTCGTGGCCGAGGCTTGCCGTGGCCAGGACGTATGTTTTGTTTCGGACGATCCCCACCAGAGAACGCGAGGCGGGATCCCCAGGGAGCACGGGGCCCCTTGGGGCCTGGCAGACGTGGCATGCGGGATGCGCCAGGCGGGTCGGGAAGACTTTCGCCTTGAAGACGCGAGTATGAGTAATTTCTAAGGGATCGTGGCCTCGGTGACGCAACTATCATTCAATGTACGATGGCCTGTGGCCTCGAGGACGCGACTATGCGAAACTTGCACGGGCTCGTTCGGGGACGCGGAAATTGCCCAGCGTACATGGGATCGTGGCAACCTCAGAGCGCCGGGTGGGGGAACACATTTTGTGCTCCCGATGGAGCGCTCCTGACAGCCAAGACGCTGAAAATAAGGACCGCGTTGGGTTCTCGGAAGGGGCCCGCTGCTCCCGAGGTCACTCCGTGGCTGTTCCTCTAGCCCTTCTCCCAGAGGCGACGATAGGGGCGACCAGCCCAGGGGAGAGCAATAGACGTATTCAGGTGCGCCATGTCTTCGGAAAGGCTCCAGGGCGAATACGTGTAATGCCCGCCTCTGGGCTATTCGCCCCTATCGTCGCCGCCGATTCCGGTGCACCCAGGCGCATGTGTTGTCAAAGAGGGGCTCCGCTCCTTATCTGGAGTTCCCCATTGAAGCAGCTTGTTCGTATGGCAGCGCGATCGCTGCACCGAGCCATCCCGGGGTGTCCGACCCTCCCCAGGGGGGGGAGATTCTCGGAGCCCCGAGTCATAGAGGCTGGGGGCAGTCAAGGGTAGCTACGGGTTCGTGCCTCGGGGTTCCAAACCAGAGTTGCCCCGGGCCGCAGTCATTCCGGATGATTCGGGCGTCCAACCCTCCCGAGTCATCGGGGCTGGGGGCAGTCAGGGGCAGCTACGGGTTTGTTCCTCGGGGGCCTTAACGGGAGTTGCCCCGGACCGCAGTCCTTCGGATCATTGGGGCGTCCAGGAGGCGGAGCGAGAAGGGAGGCGAGGGAGAGGGAGGCCTCCAGGGGCCTCCAGAAGTCCAGGGAGGGCCCAGCACGCTCCGAGACCTCGCCCCCTCGACCTCGACCATCAAGCCTCGATCCCTGGACCTCGGACCTCGGACCGCGACCTGTTGCCGACCACGACAACGCTGGAAGGGAAGGGAGGCGAGGGAGAGGGAGGCCTCCAGGGGCCTCCAGAAGTCCAGGGAGGGCCCAGCACGCTCCGAGACCTCGACCCCTCGACCTCGACCAGCAAGCCTCGATCCTCGGGCCTCGGACCTCGGACCTCGACCTGCCGCCGACCACGACAGCGCTGGGGCGGCCCCACGTCTCGCCCCGACGTCGTGCCCGGACGTCCCAAGGCGTCTGTCTGCGGCCAGCGCGGGAAGCTTAAAAAACAAAAAATGGTGGAAGGGGGAGGAGGAGGAGGAGGAGGAGGAGGAGGAGGAGGAGGAGGGAGGAGGAGGAGAGGAGGATGAGGAGGAGGAGGAGGAGGAGGAGGAGGAGGAGGAGTGGAGAGGAGGAGAGGAGGAGGAGGAGGGGAGGAGGAGGAGGAGGAGGAGAGGAGGAGGAGGAGGAGGAGGAGGAGGAGGAGGGAGGAGGAGAGGAGGAGGAGAGGAGAGGAGGAGAGGAGGAGAGGAGGAGGAGGAGGAGTAGGAGGAGGAAGGAGGAGGGGAGGGAGGGAGGGAGGGAGGGAGGGAGGGAGGGGGAGGGAGGGCGGGAGGGGGGAGGGAGGGAGGAGGAGGAGGAGGAGAGGAGGATGGGTAGGAGGAGGAGGAGGAGGAGGAGGAGGAGGAGGAGGAGTTGGAGGGGCGAGGATGACGCCACGGAAAGGAATGGTCTGCCAGGGGTCGGTTGGGCAGCGCCCGGAAGGTTCGCTCCAGGTTTGCCCACCGGGCCGCGCGGCCCACCCTGAGATCCGACGTTGCGAAGAAGATGCAACATCGCGACACAGTACGCCCTGACCCCTGCACCCCATCTTTCTGCATCACTTTTCGAGCCGGATCGATCGGTGAGGGTCCCGCGGCCCGAAAAAGAGCGAAAGCGCCCGGCTCGAGAAAATTGAGACGCCAGGATCTCGGGGGGGGGGGGGAGTCTGCCCTCGGGCAGTGCGGTCCGAGCGAGCAGACCTGCCGAACTGGCTCAGCCGAAGCGGCTTCTGCCGAGGCGGACCTGCTGAAGCGGACCTGCCGAAGCGCCTCTGCCGCAGCGGTGCCTTCCGAAGCGGACGTCTGCCGAGGCGGACGTCTGCCGACGCGGTCTGCCGCAACGGACCTGCCGAGGCGGACGTCTGCCGAAGCGGACGTCTGCCGAGGCGGACGTCTGCCGAGGCGGAGGTGCACCGTCCAAGCAGCCCGCGCCCGCCCAGGGCGTTTTGGGGTGACGTTAGCCCGGCCGGCGTTTTTTTAGATTTGGCTTATTCAGGAGGGGAAAAAACACACAGACACAATTAATCGTCGATTCCCGAGAAAATATGGGAAAATATGGGAATTGGGGGGGAAGACAAAAACCCAGAAAATATAGGAAAATATGGGGAATATTTTTATGTGTGTGTATTTATTTGTGTGTCTCAGGGCCCCTTCACTTATATCGAGTTCGAGCCTTCATCCAATGGGTGCGGTGGGAAAACAAAACAAAACAAAACAAAAAAACAGCAGCCCGCGCCCGCAGGTCACCCTCCACGCCCGCTTCGTGGGCGGGCCCACCTTCTTCGAGGAGCGGCCGCCCCGTGCTTCCCCCCCCCGTCGGCGCCGCCGCCGCCCTTGCCCCGGGGTGGCCTGCGCACGCGGGGGCGGAGAAGCGGCCCTCGCGTGCCCAGAGCTCGCCTACACTTTTACGTCGGGCCTGCCCCTCTCCAGAAAGAATGCTCTGAGGGCGATGGTTTTTCTATGTTGCAGAATACTATTCTTGGAATCTGTTTTGACTGCGTTATTAATGGAATCTGTTTTGACTACTTTTTTCAGCTTTCGCCCAAAATCCGCCTGAAAGGGAACAGGCCCCACCTCAGGCTACACGTCGGTCGTCGAAGCGAGACCACCTCGGGTCATGGCAAAAGCATGACGGGAGGGTTTGCGCCATTTTCGGCCCCGGGGGGCCCTCACCGGGCCCCGGGACCGTGAGAGAACGACTCAGGAGGAAAAGCCGGTCTCGGAGAAGGGGTCCGGAAGTTTCGGGGCCGACGTTGCGAAAAGATCGCGACGTCGGAGGTTTGGGTAGGTATTCGGGATCCCCAAATTCCAACCTGATTTAGCCGCCTTCTTACTTCAATAGTCGAGTGGCTTTACCTCTTACCTCCTCTTGGGAGGGTGGGCGGAAGCCCAATCTGTTTGAACGCCTTCCTACTGCATAGTTCTACCCAACTGTTCCGACCGACGGGTGCGCATCTCTAGGCCTCTCAGATAGGGTCGGAGTAGATGTGGTCGAAGAATCGCGCCGCATCGCCGATGAATCGGCGATGCGGCTCGATGCGGGGCCCGATTTCCTCCACGCCGACGTCACCGATGCGTCGCCGACGTGGCTGATGCATTACCAGTGCATCGCCGATGCATCGAGGATGGTGCGCGATCCTCCGACCCCAGCTACTCGGATCCCATCCAGGAGGCCTCTAACGTAAGAGTGACCTGTCGCCAGAGTGACCTTGGGTGCGGGACACGGCGACGACGACGACGACGACGACGGCGACGAAGGTGACGACAATGATGGTGACGACAAAGACAACGACGATGAGGACGACGACGACGACGCCGCCGACGACGACGACGACGCCGACGACGACTCGAGCTCGGCTCGGGCAGGAGCAGCCAGTCATTGGCGCCACCCAAGCATACTAATATTTTGTTATCGTCGCCCCCACGGGCGACGCGCGCGCGCCCAGAGAAGTCTTCCGGTATAGGCATCGTGGCGGATGCTGTTTCTGCCCAGACCGCTCGGGAAACGATCTACCGCAATATGTTTGCACGCTACAGCCAGGCCGCCGAAGAAGGAACCCTTCCCGTTGGGGAAGGGCCCGGAGTCCGTTGATTGTTTTACAGCTTGTCTCAGGTGTTGTTTTACAGTTTGTCTCAGGTTGTTACCGTTTGTCTCAGGTTGCCCATGGGAAATCTGAGTTCAACCTATGGAAAAAAACCGCGTTCCTTATTCAGGATTCCTCACGGCAGCGGCCCGACTGCATGTTCGGTTCGGACGCACGCCTCCAAGGAGGACGCACAGCTCTGGTATGCTTAAGTCGGGCCTGTCCCTCTACAGGGGGAATTTCCAAAAATAGTCCAACAATAGTCTGGGGACGATTGTTTGAGTATTTTTTGGTTTTTGTGGTGCATGTTTTGATTCTGTTATATTTTACAACCGAAATCAGCCTGTTGGGGGACAGGACCGACAGAACGGTATGCCATGCTGCGTTCCAAGTCGGGGCTCAAGAGACAGGGGCCAATGCAGACGGGGTTCTGTCAGAGCGCGGCATCTTGCAGGATCCTCAAGGCCAGGAACGCACTGAGCCGGGCTGGGGCGCATGATGCTGCTGGATCCTGCAGGATCCTGCAGGAGGAAGAGGAGGGGGAGGAGGAGGAGGAGGAGGAGGAGGAGGCGGAGGGGAGGAGGAGGAGGAGGAGGAGGAGGAGGAGGAGGAGGAGGAGGAGGGGGGGAGGCGTCCTGGCACGGGAAAGGCTGCCGCAGGGGTCGGCGGCTCCCCGGTCTGTGGCGGGCGGCGTCTCGAGGGCACCTTTCGGCGCCCATGGGCTGCGGGCGCCGGCGGCGTCGCCAGCTCGGCTCGGGTATAGCCAGGACCCCAGTTACGAGGACCCGGTTAGTAGTAGGGCCTTGGAGTTTTTATACCGACCAGAATTACAATACCAGGTCTGCCGTAGCTGGTGTTTTTGTCGGGTGACGGCAGTTCCGGTTAGTGGAACGGGGCGGGGGGGGCGTCCCCCAGTGCACATCACTGATCCAGGTTAGGGGGCCGCATGCGAACCCTACCCCTACCCCCCACGATTTCTGAGGGGGAGGGTGGGGTTCACTTTGTTCGGGAGTTCCCGAACGAAATGAACCCCACCCCCCCGTCAGAAATCACGGGGGGGAGGGGCAGGGTTCGCATGTGGCCCCCTGACCTAGATCAGTGCACATCACTGATCCAGGTCCCACTAAACCCAGTTCTGCCAAGGCCCGATCGGCTCCCGCGGGGCGCCCCCTCCCTGAGATCCTGGCGTGTCGGTCTTGTTTCGAGCCGGGCGTGGTTTCGCCTTTTCGCAGAGGGGGGGGTGGCGGGGCGGCCGCTCCTCGGAGAAGGTGGGCCCGCGCACGCAGCGGGCGTGGAAGGTGACCTGCGGGCGCGGGCTGCTGGGGCCGCACTGCCCGAGGGCAGACTCGGGGCGAAAGCGTCGGGCGCGGCCCAGCCGACCCCCCCCCCCCTGAGAACCTGGCGTCCCCATTTTCTCGAGCCGGGCGCTTCCGCTCTTCTTCGGGCCGCGGGACCTTGACAGATCGATCCGGCTCGGAAAGTGATGCAGAAAGATGGGGTCTAGGGCCAGGGGCGTGCTGGTTCGCGGCGTTGCGATGTTTTCGCTGCGTCGGATCTCAAGGCTCGGTGTCCTCGCAGCCGGCCGTGGTGGGCGGGGGAGGCGCGCGGGCCACGTCACCTCGACGACGCGCCTTGGGGGCGTCCTCGGCACTCTTAGGCTATGTCGGGCGTGTCCCTCTACAGGGGGAATATTCGAAAGCTGTCAAACATAATATGTGGACGATTTTTGCTTTCGTATATTTTTACTTTTTTGCAGATTTCCAGGGGTATGCTCTATTTGTCGTCCAAAACCCCCCTGTAACGGGGACAGGCCCGCCCTGATCCCAGACCCTGCTCGGCTCTCGCGGCGAGGAGACGACCATGACCCAGGACTCCATGCCCGGGGCCATCAACGAGGAGGACTTCGCCAGGGCCGCGGAGAAGAAGGCGCGCGAGGAGGCCTCGGCGGACAGAGCACCCGCAGAGAAGGCGCCGCTTTTTTTGTTGTATCTGCGCGCCGCAGACGCGCGCCGAGCACGCCTCCTTCCGCTGGCGGCAGATCTCGCTCCCAGAGATCCAACGCTTTGAAGAAAGCAAGACGGACGCTTTTCTGAACGTTCGGTCTCTCTAGGGGCCCTCGCCGGGCCCGGGGAGCGTCAAAAAACGACCCAGGATGAAAAACCGGTCCTGAGGAATGGGTCGAGACTTCGGCGGAGGAGGAGGAGGAGGAGGAGGAGGAGGAGGAGGAGGAGGAAGAGGAGGAGGAGGAGGAGGAGGAGGAGGAGGAGGAGGAGGAGGAGACTTCGGGGGACCGCGTATTGAAAGAATCACGACATCGGATCGTTGGGCTTGTCTCTGAGCCTTAAGGGAGGGGGGGGCGCTGGACCTCAGGGCTCATCCGTATTGCTACTTTCCCGTCGTTGTCCTCCTGGTCTTGTTGCGGCCGTCCTGGGGCCAGGAACCTGCAGGCGCGAGAGGAGAGTCAGAGACGAGCCACGTGTCAGGTCAGTGTTTTCGAACACCAGACATGGCAGTCCAGAAATCTCAGAAGATGGTGCATGAACGCCCCCCCGCGCCCCCGAGTTCACCGCTCGCCCATCCAGAAATCTCAGAAGATGGTGCATGCGCGCCCCCCGCGCCCCCGAGTTCACTGCTCGCCCTCGCGCGCAGGCTGCGACCTGCAAGAACGTGTAAGCGGTGCGGAACGACTTGCTCTCTCCTGGGCCGCATTTGAAATTGGGGCCCCCGGGGGCTGGTTCCCTTTATTGTGTGATGTCTCTTAGAGCTGTCTCTGTTTTCACGCCAGAGATGCGAGGGGGCGTCCGCTTTCCATGTCTGATGGTGCGCTTCGTGAGGGTCGCTCTCTGTCTCTCTCTCTCTCTCTCTTTTTGTTTCTCTCTCTCTCTCTCTCTCGAGGAGGAGGAGGAGGAGGAGGAGGAGGAGGAGGAGGAAGAGGAGGAGGAGGAGGAGGAGGAGGAGGCGGAGGAGGAGGAGGAGGGGAGGAGGGAGGGGAGGAGGGAGGAGGAGGAGGAGGAGGAGGAGGAGGAGGAGGAGGAGGAGCGCTTCTGCAGGGGCGCTCCCGGCCAGGTCTGTGGCCGGCGCGCCCGAGCCCGTCCGCACGGGGCCCCGGCGGCTCGATGGCCTCGTCCCTCGGCGCCCGGGCCGGCTCGGGCGACGCAGGACACATCACTGCCGCAGATTACGATGTTCCGACCTACACCTTAGGCGATGCTTAAGAAAACTTAAGTTTTCGGCCAGAGTCTCGATTATTCTTAACGTCTCCATGTAGATCCTAAGATTTGAATAGAATGTTTGAGGTTTTTATTCAAGCTCTGAGACTATGAATTTCTTAACCCATGATTTCTTAAGCATTTCGCAGGGTGTACTTTTAGCCTTGACCACCAGGAATAATTTCGAGCGCCAGAGAAGTACCGAATGACTCGTCCGACACTGGTTCGGCACTCTTTCGACTTTTTCTCGACACGTTTCCGGGTGCTCGAGATGGTTTCTGGGATGTGGTGCTGAAGTACGGTGGGAGCAACAAACGCCTCGGAGTCGCTGAGGGCTGCCCGCGAGGGCCACCCCCTGCTCTCTGCAGAAGCCACAGCGGCAAGGGCGCCACCAACACGTGAGCAGCGATTTTTTGTTTTTTTGTACGGGCATTGCTTCGGCTTCCGGC